GGCGGAATGGGTCTACTGGGCGGCGCCGGAGGGGGTGGTGACGGTGGTCGTGGAGGCGGAATGGGTCTACTGGGCGGCGCCGGAGGGGGTGGTGACGGTGGTCGTGGCGGCGGACTGGGTCTACTGGGCGGTGGAGGTGGTGGTGACGGTGGTCGTGGCGGCGGACTGGGTCTGCTGGGCGGCGGAGGTGGTGGAACGGGCGGTGGAGGTGGTGGAACAGGCCTGTCGAGCGCTGCCGAAAGCCCAATAGGTCACGGTAGGATGAGCTTGTCTGGCAACGGAGCCGAAAGCTCGCTGAATGCTGGAGGATCCGATGCTCGGCTTTCTGCCTCGATGCCTCAAGCAGGCTCGGGTGGCGGAATGCCGGGACTGGGCGGGACATCACTGAGCACAGGAATGGGTCGAAGGCTCGCCGGAGGCATGGGAGGTATGGGCGGCGGGCACGGTATGCCTGGAGGCATGGGAGGAGGTATGGGCGGCATGGGCGGCATGGGAGGTGCGGGCGGAGGTCAAAGGCTTGGCACTCAATCCACAGGAAACGGTGGAGGCAAGTCGAGCTCTACTGGTAAATCGGGGGGCTCGAGCAGCGGACGCGGAGGCGCCGGAGGTGCTATGGGCGGCATGGGCATGGGCATGCCAGGTGGGATGGGCGGCGGCGGTATGGCCATGCCAGGTGGAATGGGAGGCGGTATGGCCATGCCCAGTGGAATGGGCGGCGGTATGGGCATGCCCGGTGGAATGGGAGGCGGCATGGGCATGATGGGCGCTAGCGCCAACAAGTCACCGTCCTCTTCGTCTTCGAGCTCGAAAGGCAAGAAGAGCAAAAAGAAGAAATGCCGCAAGAAGAAGTCCAGCGGCAGAAGTGGCGCTGAAGATGAAGAGCGTCGACGCCGCCGCAGCAACTCGTATAGCAGCAGTGGCAGCAGCTCTTCGAGGAATTCGAGGAGAACTGACACTCTTAGCGTCGACGAGATTGCTGACCACGGCTCGAAAACTGCTTCTCGTTCTTCTGCCACTAAAGATCCCAAAAACAGCAAGGCTTCGGACGCTACCGATACCATTTCCAACCGCGGTGAGTACGATGATTACGCCTCGGACCGATGTCAAAGCTCACCGCTTACTGATGTGCTCGTTCTTTGCGCTCTCAACACGCAACAGATCGCTCACAGAAGAGAAGCATCGGCCCCGACTCTGTTTCCAGCGACCTGACTCTCATGAAGAGACACCAGAAGCACAAGAAGATGCGCAGATCTGCGGCTGGCAAGGCTTCATTCTGAAGCACGAGGCCTCGCTTTAGGCAAGTAGTGTCTCGAGTCAAAGTGAGCTTGAGATTGCTCCAGAGCGCAGACGCGAGGCAGCCGCTGACCGATATGACAACCTTTCCTTTGTCGAACAGCAACTTGAAAAGACCATCGGTTGTGAATTCCTTCCACCAACATCCAAACTTCCAAATGTGAAAGTAGTCATTCCCAACGCTCAAACCCATTGTATCTCTCCCGTTGTATCGCTCCTCTCGACGCTCGATCGCACCAAAGAAGTCCCGATAGGTCGCCCTCTTCTGGCAAGAGGCGTGAGCATGTAGCTTCCAAGCGATCAATGAATCCACTCTCCCCTCTAAACAGGTTGACACTTGTGCTGTCATTTATTTCAAGCGAGGGCCATGACTGTACCCGCCAGCCTCGGTTGAGAAAAGAGGCAAATTAAGTTACGAGTAGCCGAATCACGCTTCACGACATGGTCGGCATGTTGACGCTGGCCGTGGCGCTAGTAGCATCTGCGCTCCTCCAAAGACTGCGAGGATGACGAAGTATGTCGAGGCGTTGAGTGAGGGATGCAGAAATGACCATGCCTCTTAGAGGACAACTCACGAAGTGACGGTCTTCAACTGGGTGTAGAAATTGAGACCTTGTTTGCCATAGAAGCCGATATCGCCTGTGATGACAGCGTCATCGAAGGCGCTGGTGGTCAGCAAGACGAGCCATAGGAAAAGCGCTCATCCGAGCCACACTCACCCATGACCGAGCCCTTGTCTATTGTACAACACAGCAGAAAGCGCACGATGTGAGTAGTCTTTTCGCAACGCACACTGGTGCAAATGTCTATTTGCCGCCACATCCGGACTCACTTCCACTCCATGCAAACATTGGGAGGGGAACTGGGACAGGAACATTAATGCCGACTTGCCCGACATTGATGTCCTTTTCAAACTTGCGAGCCGTCGCGCTGTAGCGCGTTGCGAAGAGTCTCACTGCATGTCAGCTCGAGCTCTTCTCTGGCAATGACACCATCCCTCTCTCCAGCTCACCCATTGTTTGTAAAGATGGCCGCCCCGTTGCCATACTTGTTTCGGTTAATGACCTCGACAGCGTCTTCGAGCGTTGGGACATTGAGCACGACTAGCGTCGGCCCAAAGATTTCCTGATCGTACGCTTTCATTCCAGGTCCAGCTTCCACGATGGAGGGTCCGACAAAGTTTCCTTCTGGGAAGGCAGAGTTGCGGTAGGATCTGCCGTCCAACAGGATGCGTCCGCCTTCAGACTCGACGGAGGAGGTGAGCTCGATGACCCTTTCGCGCGCTTGCGGGGAGATCAAGGGGCCGCTGGGGGTGAGGAAGGCGGATCGATGAGCAGGCGCATGCACGTCATTCACTCATTTCCGGCGCTGTAGACTCACAGGTCCACGTCCTCGAAACCGCTTCCCACCCGCAGACTCTTTGCTCTCTCGACGAGCATAGGGACAAAGCGTTTGGCATCACCAACAGTGACGACGACGCTCAGAGCCATACACCTCTGTCCCGCAGCTCCAAACGCAGCACCTCCAATAGAGTTGAGCGCATGTTCCAGATTCGCGTCTGGCATCAAGACTGCATGGTTCTTTGCTCCCAGGTTCGCTTGGACCCTCTTGCCGTTGGAAGTGCCTCGATTGTAAATATGAGCTCCTGCTCTGTCGGACCCTACAAAGCTGATGGCTTTGATATCGGGCGCATCGCAGATAGAGTTGACCACATCGACTGTGCCATTGACCACGTTCAAAACACCTTTGGGAAAGCCTGCCAAGGTGGCCAATTCGGCAAGGATCATGGAAGCGCCTGGATCCCTCTCTGACGGCTTGAGGACGAGCGTGTTGCCAGTGACTGTAGCCATGGGGATGCTCCAGAGCGGAATCATGGCTGGGAAGTTAAAGGGGCAAATGGCGGCGGTGACACCAAGGGGAACGCGCCTTGCGTGCGTATCCATATCCTTCGCCACCTCTAACCTTTCTTCCATCAATGTAGACGTGATACCGCAAGCCGTCTCGACCACCTGCAGACCTCTCAAGACATCTCCTTTGGCATCATCGAACGTCTTGCCTTGCTCCAACACGATGCTGTTTGCGAGATCATCCATATGAGATCGAATCAAGGCTTGGTACTTGAGCATGATGCCCTGTCGAGAGAGCACCGACGTGGCCGACCAATCCGGAAAAGCCGACGAGGCAGAGTCTACAGCTTGTTGGAATTCCGATGCAGGAGTGTCTGGCACGCGAGAGAGAATCGTTTGGGTGGCCTGCCGCACAGTGGGGCACATTTAGAGTCATCAGCATAGCACGGAAAGAGCGCATACACGCTCCTTTGGGTTGAGACAAACCACTTACAGGATCCCGAACTTCGACCCATCTATCCGTCTTGCTCTCTACAAACTCTCCGTGCACAAAGTTCTTTGTGGTGCCACCCAAGACAGAGGTTCCCTTCCACTTTGCATCCACATCTTGCGCTTTGGAGTGGGCTAGCGAGCCCAATGTGGACTCGGATGGGGAGGAAGCCGATGCTGTGGCTGTTGAGGAGGCGCGCGAGAGAAGAGGGTGCAGCCGTGTGGAGGAGCTGAGGCGCGAAAGGCTGGGACCTCTGCGACCCAGTAGCATCTTGGTAGCCATGTTGGAGGAATGTGCAGCGATGGACGTGGTCGCCGTGTGCACGATGCGAAGAGAATGAGCGCGTCGTCGTCGTGCGCAGCGATGGACTCTTTGTTCTGCCAAAAAGCAGGCAAGCCTAGAGTCGCGAATGAATGCTCATGAGAATCCAAGTAGGGAACCCTGGCTGGCTGCATGGCTGCACATGCTGCCGCCGCTTGGTCAAGGCGAGCGGGGCCGAGCGAGCGCGGGGGAGAGGACTCGACTGATCCGCGGGGCTCAAGCCGGCTCGCCGAAGGACCCGAGGTGCCGAAAGTAGACATCACGTGACCCATTCTGTTGGGCTCGACTCTTGAACACCGCGACGAGGCGTAAGGGGGTGCGGTGCGTGCGGCGCGTGGCTGAGCGGGTGTGGCGGCACGGATCGAGCGCTGCGCCGCTCCACTCGACGCGTGCGCAATCACGAATTGCTGCTGGGTCAACCGGTGCGGTGACTTGCGCCGGCCGGGGCGTAATCATGAAGCTGTGACTGACGGTCGTGAGTTCAAAGTAAGGACTCTGGCTGGACTCACACGGACTGCAGGTGAGGTGACGCGATCGAGAGAGGCGTAGCTGCTGGTCACGCACGCGCTTGCTTGCCTGCCTGCCTACTCGTGACCCTTGATTGATGCAGACTCAATCTTGAATCGTCAATCGCGTTGCAAGCTTGCACAAGCGTCATCTTCTCCTCCACGACCCTCGCACCGGCCTGCTGGGCTACAGCGATAGCAGATTGACAGACAAAGGTTGTCCATTGCCACCTGCATCCCGGCTACTCTGACCATTCAGGCCGTTCCACAGTCTCTCGTCTGCTTATCGCCACTTCGCGTTGCCTCCGTTCCCACGTCACTGTGAGTCACCACACAACCCCAGACTCACAAGCCCCTGGTGAGCCCGCTTGCGGTCGGAATAGGTGTGCATCACTTGCCGCCCATCGATCCCACACTTGGCTTCTCGGTTCTGCGCGCCACGAAAAGAGATGCCTCGCCCTCGCACCAGATCCACAGAAAATGGGAGCGATGTGGATACGGAACCCGTCATGGCAGAGGCACGGTACTCGAGCAGAGTCAGAGCGCGAGAGGCGGAATCCGAAGAGGCCACAGAAGTAGTCGTAGACATTCCTGAACGCTCTAGTCGGAGAAGAAGAATCACCAGGTCCACGAGTCAGCAGGTTGGTCTTAGCGAGAAGCAGGACAGGGAAGATGGTTCGAACATTGAAACAGGCATCATCGTCGACGAGCAGGGCGGAGATGGGGCTCGAACAGCGCGCCCTGGAAGCTCGCGAGCTCACATTGGATGCAAGCTCACCAAGGGCAAGCAGAGGTCGGCGAGGGATGGAGACAGCATGCAACTTCACGGTGAAGACCCCACGGCAGGCCCATCTGGCCATCCGCAATTTGAGAGTGGTCAAGGCGGGCCAGCTTCAAGCTCGGCATCGCTGTCAAGAGATGGTTCCACCGCTCGCACTGCCACCCCGGCAACGTCTCCAGCAGCAGCCGACCCATCATCCTCACTCTCCAGCACGACAGAATCGTCGGGCGGCGGAGCCAGTGCGGCAGGATTGACAAGTCTGCCCGAGGCTCAAGGTTTCAGCAGCTCGCAGGGCACCACTACAAGCGCAGGCGCAACGCATGCCACGCATCAGCGCACGCCTGCTCGCACAGCAGTCGAATCCGCAGAGCACTCCGCTAACCGCGCTCGAGCCGTTCTTCTCTCTGCCTTGGGAATATTGCCAGCTCCCGGCCGCGCATTTGTTTTCCCTAGCATGGCCACTGGCGCTACTTTGCAATCGCCAGGCGCACGGCCGGGCGGCACCGGCAGGCTCCAGCCTACAGAGGGAGACCCGCTGGACCATCCCAGTGATACGCTGCTGGCTCTCTTGCAGGACATTCTGGGCCTCGGACGAGGAGCGACCTTCAGAGGTCACGGGCATGCGGCGCTACAGGGTGGTACCCGGAATGCAAGCGCTGCTGGGACGCGTACTGCTGGTGACGCCTCGACTCCCACCATTGATCCGGCATCTGACCGCGCACACGAGGGTAATGAAAGTGGCATGGGTCCCACTGGTCCGTTTGGGCAAGGCGCCGCACGTTCGGACGACCCTAGCGGGGAACAAGCCCAGCCAACAGGCGCCGCTAGAGAGGAGCCGAGACCCCGAGTGGGAACCAGTGAGTATCGCTTTCGCAATCAGCAGGTGCGAGGTTGCCCAAACGCTCTCGGGCTACCGTATTGACTTGCCACGACTTTTCTTTCTCAGCCGTCATCGTACAAGGAGCCCTGATCTCCAGAACGATACCTCCTCGTGCGCAAGGCATCGAGTCTGGCAGCCCGCACGCAACAGTCGACGGGCCTTCCGATTCCACCGACCGTCCCACGCAAACTCAATCGTTTTTGGGAGCTCAAAGCCAGACCCAAGCAGAAGCTGGTACCAGCGCCACATCTTCGAGATCTTCCGAGCCTTCTGCACGGTCATCGTCTCAGGCAGGCGGCACGAGAGGTCAAACAGCGCAAGCAGCGACCTTGGTGGAACAGGCGGATATGCTGTCGCATCTTTGTAGCGTGGCCGCCGCAGCTACAGCGGCTTCGCTCATATCCGGACCTTCTGGTCAAGCGCCTGGAGGTAGCAACAGTGGTGCAGGTACTGGATCAACCGCCGCAGAAATAGCGCAGGGCATTCGTGGAAATATGGACGGTATCGGATATGGAAGGCGGGCAATGGCCCCCTCAGCTGCTGCCGCTGCGCTTCGACGTGTGAGCGCTCAGCCTTCCAGCGCAGCACGTGCCGAGACCTCCTCTCCGAGTATTACCGTTCCAGAAGGACCGTCAGACAGGTTAAGCGCTCATCGTCGCGCAGGTGTCGCGCCAGTGTGGCCTTTCGAGGGGCCTTTCTTGCCATCTAGCCGAAGCACCGGCCAACGCGCATGGCACCGCGCATCTGGAAGCACCGGCGGTAGAAGCCGTTCTTCGATCAGCTCCGTTCGATCTTCTGCCTCGAGCGTCGTCCGCTCTGCCCTTCGCCACTTTGTACACGGTATCGGTGGGGTCTTTAGACGTAATCGCACTTCCGCGAATGCTCGCGAGGAGGTCTCGACCACCTCTTTGTTTTCCGATAATGGCGCTGCAGCGCAAGAGCGCAGTTATAGCTCTCCTCAAGCCATGATGCGCGGCGAGCGAGGCGCGGCGAGGGAGGCGCTAAGCAGCCTCGTACGAAACATCTTTCGTCGAACGCAACGTGGCTCATTCCTTGCCAGCGCCGAACCTTCTTTCGCCTCTCAGACGCCTGCTGAGAGCAGAATTGGTCCGACGCTCGCACGTGCCGGTTCGTTTCTAGCCGGACACACTCGCGGACCGTCGAACGAGTCGCCACGGCGCTCGCTGCTGGATATCACCTCGACCAATATTGCGGGACAGAGAACAGGAGAGAGTCCTCATGAAATGGCGGCGCTCTTGGAGAGAGCCAGGGGAAGAGAGCTGCAGCAGGGCCAAGAAGGCTCCTGGGAGCGCTTCATGTACAATCTGTCGCGCGATCTTGCCGCTGCTGTGAGGGATCTACCTGCTCCTCCTTCAGATGGCCCGAATCATGGCGAGTCGCAGGAAAGTGCTGCTCAGCAGCATAGCGAACAAGAGTCAAACACTGACGGGAGCGGGTCAAGAATGTACATGTCTGATGGCAGCATTGACGGCGAGACGCGCACGCGACGCCAGCAGGACATTCAGCATGGCCAATTGGCCTTCTACCGTCTGTTCAGATTCAACCCTACACCCGTGCCGGCGTCTGCTCAGACAGGCGACCAAAGTTCGACGCCCTTACAGCCGAGTGCGTCGCCCTCGGGCCCGAGCCGCGCTCGAGCCAGCAGTCTGCCGCGTTCAGGGTCTGAAGATGCTATCCACAGTCTCCCATGGCGCGATCAAGCGACATTCGGATCGACCCCCCGCTCTGGAGGGCAGAATGCGCAGACATCCCCATCCACCCTTGTCCCGTGTGTCGTGATCGGCGTTCGCTCTTTGGGGGCGAACGAGCCCGGGGGTCTCTTTGGCGTGCCCGTAGACCCTCAATTACGAGACGCTCCGCCTGGAGCTGCTGCTGCTGCCACAGGCGAGCAGGCTCAGAGCGCCAATCCATCAGCGGGTGGCGAGGCAAGGAGCAACGTCGACACGAGCACGAGCGCACAGGCTGAGAGCGTGTCGGACACAAATTACGCGAGATACCTTCTCTTTATTGGAGGCGGAACGTACAGTTCGGATCATCCTTTGCTGCAGGCTAGCCCGTCCCGCGCAGCTCAAGACCTCATGTTGGCCATGGAGGTGAGCCAACGGCAGGGATCAGACTCTTGCGTGCCCAGCTGACGAGTGGTTGCTTTCCAGATCCTTTCCCGCGTCAATGGAATGCGCTCCCAGCCAAATACTTTGACGCAAGAACAGATTGAGAGCGCCAATCTCGTTCGACTTGTGCCAACAAGGGACACTATCGCAAAGCACGTAGCGGAAGGGGAATTGCGTGAGAATACGGCCGAAAAGTGTTTGATTTGTCTCGAGGACTGGGAGAGCGCCTGCAAAGTTGCTTCGGAGGCGCGAGAAACGGATGGCTCGTCCAAGGAACACGAGGCTAGATTGCTCAAGTGCGGACACCTGTTCCACGCTCATTGTGTTGATCAGTGGGCCAAATCATCTAGCGTGAGTGGGCGACGTTCTATTCTCCATCAGCCCGTACGCTGTCTGCGCTCACATGCGATGCTTTACCCCCCGATTCAGAACTCTTGCCCTCTATGCAGAGCACAAATCGTGCGCTCACCTGGAGCACCACCTTCCGCTCCGCATGTCGCCCCTGCTGCTGCTGGACCAGCTGGCGACGCAGCACCGTCTGCGCCTGCAGCATCCACAGCCTGAGAGACTTTGTCACTTGGCAACCTATCCGCCAGAGTTTTGTATCAGCTTTAGATGAGATTCATATACATCCTCCCCATACCTTACCAACGACTCCACGCCCTGCGAAATTTCATTGTATCACCGACGTTTTGTACGAGCATCTTCATATCAGAGCGTTTACAAGTGGCTTTTCTGCCCTCGATTCATGCTTCGACTCACACGCACAAACGCACTCACTCACCCGCTAGAGCGAAATGTCGAATAGGCATGGGTGGAAATATGCAGAAAGTGATGAGGGTGAAGAATGAGACTGGGCAAGGTGCGGTGCGGTGCGGCGCGGCGCGGTCGAGGTATTTCGAGACGCAATTCCCCTGGGGGGCTGCCTCCTACTGCTCTTGAGCACGTTGAACGGCACGAAGCGTGGCCGCAGCCTGTGGCATGACTTCAGAGGGGCCTTGCTCGTTGAGGTGTCTGAGCGCAGGTAACAGTTCCCTGGAAATCTTCTCCATCAAATCTCTTTGCCGTCCGGCTTGAGCTTGTTCAGCAATAGCTTCGAGCAGAGAGCATGCGTTGGCTGCGAATGCGGGGGGCATCCTAGCGTCCCTGCGCGCTAGAACAGAGTACACCATGTCGATGGATCTGGGCGGTGAAGCAGTGCTGGAAGATGCCGAGGAGGATTTTTTCCGATACGCTTGCAGAGTATCTTGCCGTTGGGGATGTTGAGTGTGCGCATCGGCAGGGGCTGCTGCGCTGGACGTGCCGGCTTCGGAAGCGGAGAGGTCGGAGATGCTGGCGGATGCGGATTGGCCGGAATCCTTACGAGATGGGACTTCACCTATCCGAAGCATCGCTTCGGCTACCGCGATGGCTGCGAACGCCACGACCACTCGTCAGCAGACATTCTCAAAGATCAGAGTTCTGGTTCGACTCACCTCCAGCAGGCTCTGTTGAGAGCAGTGTCAAAGCAAAGATGCCTTCGTTGACAAGCACTGGATACTTGTGACTTGCTCGCACCATCTCTGACAAGGCTGTCACAACGGCTTCGTTTCCCAACAACAGACTTTTGGCTTCGGCGCGCTTCGAGTCTGAGGTAGCATCACCGGAAGTCTGAGCTTGCCACAATGTCTTGATAGCGTTGACTAGGATGCGTGTACCTTCCATGCGCGTAGGCACATCTTCCGTCCTGCCAAGCACGCTCAACAAAATCCCCAACGGCATCCTCCCATTCGACTTGCCAAGTACGAGTCTAAGGGCATTTTGGATCTGACCGCCAGCGCAGAGGTGTTTCAATAGCCCGACAGTGGCGAATTGAAGAGGCTGAACATTGTCGTATTTGGCATCCAAGAATGGAGCCACTAGTTCCAAAAGTCCAGCATCACCCAGCAATGACTTGTTGGGCGCAGGAATGGAGAGGTTCTTGAGCAGGCCGACGCAGCCGTAGATGACCTTGATGTCCGGCTCGGCTGTCTGCAAGTGGGAGACGAGCGTGGGTAGCAAAGCGGAATGTTTGACCAACGCAATGCAATTGGCGTCTGGGCGAGAGTTGGGCGAGGTCAGACGTTGCGCGAAAAAAGAGTGTCCCACAACTGTGCTCACCTTTGCGCGCCAAGTTGCCCAGCGCCAATAGAGCAGTCCCAGCCAAATCTTCCCTATTCCGCCTTCCCATCCAGTCTGCACATGTGCCCAAAAACCATCCCTCTTTGCGATCGTTGTGCATGCCGCCCGCAAAGAGTTTGTCCATGTTCTCATCCTCGCCGCTGATCGCCACAATGGCCCGAGCCACGCTAGCCTTGGACAGAGAATAAGTCTTTTTAGCTTCGCTGAGCGCTTCCGCATCTGACGCTGCTGGAACACCTTGACCTTCCCACGATGGAGGAGACGTCGACACGTCTAGAAAATGCATCAACAACGCCAGCGGTGTGGGCAAGGCTGGCAGATCAGAGAGTAGGCGGGCAGAGTGGGCGTCCAAGTTGATCGCGTGCATGCTGCGACTCCTAAAGGTGCTCGATCGTCGACCTGCAGTCTCCAAAAGCTCTGCAGCCAGCGTAAGAATGTCAGAGTCTGACGATATTAGATCGGACACGTCGTCATCTGTCCAAGGCAGTACCGTGCCCTGTGCCGAGGGCCGTTGAGCCACGAGCATGGCAACGAGGGGCCTGAAGAGGGCATTGAAGCCTTCGCTTCGACAGAGGAGTTCTACTGGGTGGTCCGCTTCTGATTCCGCTTCCGCCTCTTTTTGATCCTTGTCTGCCTCCTCTGCTTCGCCGGGCTCCTCTTGATCCGCACACACGTCGCACAGGACTCTCCAGCCCCAGCCAGCAGTGGAAGCTGCATCTCTGATCCTCTGCATGTCCTCTTCCCCCCTTGCGGCACTCCGCGCAGCTCTGTCAAAGTGGACGCGCTCGGCTGACCAAGCACTTGGGACGTAGAGGCGAGGCCAAGAAGCGAGCTTGGCCAATGTAGAGAGGTGATGCTCGGAACGCAGTGCTTGGTGCACGCCCGGATGCTCCAGCGCAAGATTGAGTAGCGCTCCTGCGCTTGTCCGCAAGAGCTTGAGGGAAGTGGGCGAGAATTGCAAAGCGGAAGGGTCGGTGGGGATGGGGCTGGAGAGAATGCCATCGAGAGTCGAAATGACGGCTTGCACTCCTCCAACATCCAAGAAGCGCGCGCGATTGTCGGCTGCACATGGGGGCGGAGTGAGCTTTGCGGACGTAGAGTGAAGCATCCTCAGCGTACAGCTCACCGTGGTCGATGCATAGATTGGCGACGATCCGCAGACATTCCGTGACGGCATCGGCTTCGCTAGCCGATGTTCTGTCATTCGCAAGTACAGACTGGCGCCGGGCAACGCGGAGAATATGCACGACACTGCTGGGCAAGTCTGAGCTGCCCAAAGGCGTTCTCAAGCGGTCTGTGAGGGTGCGCGCGCATCAGAAAGGATGACCCTGGCAGCAAGACTGGGTCGACCTGGACCGCTCGCCACTCACCGCCTCTAAGCGTATCTCCGATCGGTTTGAGCGTTCTAGCCACCTCGTCCCACGCATCCGCTTCGTCATCATGATCGTTTCTGGGAGCAGGACTCATGACGAGTGGACTGGCAGCCACACTAGAAGCGGATGATGAGGCAATGTTCAGCTTTGGCTTTCCGTCCGAAAGGAGCGGCGCGCTAGAGGATCCAGAAGCGTGCACCGCTTGCTGCGGTCTACCCTGCCAGCTTTTCTCCGCTCCGCTTCCCCCAAAGTCGACGCCCGAGTCGTGCTGCAGGCCGTGCGCAGCACAGAGACCCGAGATGACCTCCATATGAGGAGCCAATGCCATCCTGAGATCGTTCATTGCGTGCGTGCGTGTGAAGTCCAGGTGGGAGGAGTCGTTTCGCGCGGGCAGTGGAGGCGAAGGATATTCTTTGGGATGCTGGGATGCGTGCTGCAATCTAGCTTGTTTGAAGGTGGAAAGATGAGAGCGAATCGACTGGCAGGCGGTCGGGAAAGAGATGCGAGGGTAGCAGGCGCGTGCGTTGCTCGTTCGAACAGTTTGACAGTCGTGAGTCGTGAGTCGTGAGTGTTGAGTCAGAAAAGAAGCCTTTTGGAGCGGTGTGTACGCGGTGGGTGCCCTTCGCCCGCGCGGTCCATGCATGGGCCGCTCGGCGCGGAGAGAAAATCGAACGAGGCGGTGCAGCCCTTGGCGATGCGCGCGCGCGCGCGCGCGGCGACGGGTGAGACAAAATTCACGATTGCGGCGCACCGCGTGACAGCTGCGCGCGGTGGGTGTTGAGCTAGCTGTGTGCGAGACAGTCGTGAGTCGTGAGTGGCGAGCTGTCGTGAGTCGGGTATGCTGGGTAGTGCATGGGTGCTGGCATGAGGAAAGACGATGTGATGGAT